ATAGCGAAGATGACAGTGAAGGAGGCCTTGGGCTGCTGGAAGGGCGACAAGGTGAAGGAGGCGATGGATGAGGAGATGCGGAGCTTGATTGAGCAGGGGACGTGGGAGTTGGTTCCGCGTCCGCCAGGGGTGAATGTGATGAAGAACCGCTGGATCCTGAACACCAAGTTCCGACCGGATGGGGTAGTGGAGCGTGAGAAGGCGCGGCTGGTGGTGAAGGGGTTCACGCAGGTGGCAGGGGTGGACTATGAGGAGACGTACGCCCCTGTGGGAAGCTATGTGACGGCGCGAGTTCTTCTGGCGATTGCAGCTGCACTTGATTTGGACCTGATGCAGCTGGATGTGAAGAACGCGTTCCTCCATGGCGTGCTGGACCGTGACCTTTACATGGAGCAGCCGAGCTACTACGAGGATGGGACCCCTCGTGTCTGTAAGTTGTTGAAGAGTCTGTATGGTCTCAAGCAAAGCCCGATGCTGTGGTATGAGGCCTTGGATGGGGTGCTGCTTGGGGCTGGATGGAAGAAGAGCCAGGTGGATGAGGCTCTGTACTTCAAGAGTGATGCTGAGGGGGAGATGTGCTGGCTGCTGGTGTATGTGGATGATTTGCTTGCTGCCAGCCGCAGTCAGAGCATGCTGGGGGAGCTGCGTGAGCTGCTGCAGAGTGCGTTTCAGCTGCGTGAGATTAGCCCTGTGGAGAAGTATCTGGGGTTGCAGCTGATTCGGGACAGGCCTACGAGGAGGCTGTGGCTGCACCAGGGGGCCTATGTGGACAAGGTCCATAGGCGCTTCTTCGACGGGGAGCAGCCGCTGCGAGTGCCTCGCACCCCCCTTTCCTCTGACCCTTTCAGTGTGCAGACCTTTGAGGATGTGGGATGGCAGTCTCGCCAGGAGGAGGAGTACAGGCAGAAGGTGGGATCCTTGCAGTTCGCAGCCTGTACCACCCGTCCCGACATCTCCTTCGCCTGCAGCAAGCTGGGCTCAGGCCAGACAGTGCGGAGTGACCAGCACTGGAAGGAGTTGGACCGGTGCTTGGCGTACTTGGTGGGGAGCAGGGATGTGGCGCTGGAGTTTGGTGGTGGGCCGGAGTCCTTGGAGCTGGTGGGCTACGCCGATGCTGATGATGCAGGAGACAAGCAGAACAGGACCAGCACTGGTGGCTACATCTTCGTGCTCGGGGGTGCTGCTGTCTCTTGGGCGAGCCAGAGGATTCGTTGCGCCACCCTCTCCTCCACTGAGTCTGAGTACGTTGCTGCTGTGGAGGCTGGGAAGGAGGCGCGCAGGCTGCGCTTCCTGCTGGCAGAGTTTCAACTGCTGAGGAGTGAGGAGCCCACTACTCTCTTTGTGGACAACTCCTCCGCCATTTCAGTGGCAGGTGGCATGGGGCTCAAGGGGAGCCTCAAGCACATGGAGCGTCGTCACATGTGGCTGCAGCACATGGTCAAGCGCAGGAAGCTGCAGCTGCAGTACATCCCTACGAGCGAGCAGCCTGCTGACTACCTCACGAAGGCATTGCATTTCCCCGCCTTCAGTCGTTGCTTCGAGGCTGTGGGGCAGGTGAGGCTCTCGAGCGAGGGGAGTGAGGCCTAGACACTCCATGATGGTGCCATGGCCTATCCATGGCTGGTGCGGTGCGTGTTTGCACTTTGAGAGTGCTTCGTTTGTGTGTGTTTCCCTTTGTTTTGGTGTGTATGTGTGTATGCATGCCCTGTGATTATAAAGGGCCTTGCTGTAGTATGGCAGGGGAGTGTTAGAGGGCCCTACGACAGCAAGGGCCCTCGACGACTTGGCAGATTGCTAGATTGACGACCTAGACTGACGCCCTTCGCCACCGACATGGGAATATTGGTGATGGTCGCGTATTGACAAAGCGTGACTGCTGAACTTGTCGTTGGAGTTTGTGCAGGGCAGTACAAGTCTGTGGGAGTCATTGGTGGTGTTGCCGAGTTGGAGTTGGTTGGTTGGGGTGGCGTGTAAGAAGGAACATCCCGCTGCTGAGTCAGGTTGGGATTGGCCGAGGCGCGGTTCACCCATCCACACGACAGTTTCGTGGGGTTGGGTTACTGCGCAGCGCCACGGCAACTTTGTGCAACTTCCCCGTAGCCTATATCTATCTTGTGTGTTTGCTTTTGTATTCATAATAATATTACAATCTCTACTCAAGTTCTCACTTAGCCATTTGAGACAAGCTCTACCGAAACGCTACCGAATTCCTCGCGCAACACCATTCTCACAAGCAGAAACTCTCTCGCCGTCGTAACGCTCTCCATGGTATTCCTTCATGCTATTGAGAGTACATGCATTTAGACACGTGGCCCTTGTCCGACTACGACGGAATGATAGAATTCGGCCTAGGCTCATCACCTACTATATCCATACAACCATCAACAAGTTTGTCACGGCTAGTAGACTTCCTTGCTGAGGCTTACAAATCTCCTTGGTTCGGAAAAGCTTAACCACTGCGACATGGCGACACACTGTGAACTGTGCGACGCCAAGGCCGACTGGTATTTTAAGACATAACTGTGCGCAGATGGGCTCTGTTTATATAGAGGATATAGGTTGCGATACAATGGAGCAGCTACTTGATTACATGTACACTGGCGAGATACATGTAGAAAACGCAACCATGAAGGTGAGCTTTCTCTGGTTAGTTCAATGCAGAACATTCCTTTTCGTTTCAGTGTTACCTCTCTCATCCCTTTTCTATTTGATCATATGCAGGAGCTGAAGCTCCTTGTGGCAGCAGACAAGTACGAAGTGTTGGACCTGAAGGACTACCTCGATTTGCACCTGGTTGAGCATATGAACAACGACGTTGCGCGTGCAAGCATCAAGGTACGACCAGATTTGCAATAAGTGAATTTCTAGAAAGTAATAACCTCGTGAACAACTCAAAGCCAATGTAGTGAAACGTTTCCCTGGTGTGTCAATTCAGAACGTTTATCTGACGCGTGCAATGCATGCAGGAAGCATTTTTGAGGAATGACCAGAGTGTTAAACTTGTGGCAGTTGATCTGCTAGAAAAGTCATGGAGGAACGCGTGAAATGCATTTTCAGGGATTCGATAATAGTCATTTTGTGTGGATTTTACTTCTGTTACGGAACCTTGCCCCATGAAAGAAACAGACACCAAGATTATCTGGTTGCCCAACCTACTAAGAGTACAAGCTTATGGTTTGGTATTTGTGGTATGAAAGCGAATATGATCCTTGCCTGCCAAACTATACTAAAAAAGGAATAGCCCCCTTCTTCCCCTGCCATGCCCACTAATTGCTGACGGTGTGGTGTTGTCAGGGATGCTACGGTATATTTTGTGCTCCACTAGTCATGAGGGGCTTCATGTGTAATCTTTCCCTCTGTTTTCTACTCCCCCCACCGTCCCCAGGTGATGTGGTCTTGGTAACATGGTGGTATGATCCTTTGGTTGTGTTCCTTCCATATGCCACCATCGTATTTTGCATTCATTATTCATGTTCATTTGCACCTAGCCGTGCAGAAATAGAAAGGAGGGAAGGCGGAAAGGTTGGAGAGAATGCAAAATGGGGAATGCAGGGAGAATGGGAATGAGAGGACAATCCAGAGCAGAGGAAGAATTCAAGGAAGGAAGGAGGTGTGAAGGGTTAGGGAGAAGGGAGGGAAGTATATAAGAAGGGGCTAGGAGGAAGGAGGTTGTTGGAACTCGAGGGGAGTGGATAAGAAGAGAGACAAGAAGAGGAGATGAGAGGAAGGATTTGCAAGAGATTATAGGGTGAGGTTTGGGACAGCATGGAGGATAAGGGGGCGCAGGGAGGAAGGGAGGAGAGAGGAAGCAGTGAGCGAGAGAAATGAGCTGACAAAGAAATGGTTTACTCTCAACGCTTACCTGGAATGTTTCAGGAGAGGAGGGAGAGAAGGGATATTGATGGGAAGATAGCTGCCTGCTCGCAAAGTAGCAACCTTGCTCGTATGTACCTCTCCAGTCAGGAGAGATGTTAAGAGAGATGCAGAGAGGGATAAATGATACCATTTATCCCACATAGCCAACACAATTGATACCATTTTTAGCTCATTGTGGTATTCACCCTCTTCCCCTTTCCCATTCCCTCCCCTCCCCATCCCCTCCAACCATTCCCCCCCTGCCCATTAAGTGTATATATATATATATTTTTCAGAGTGCCTTTTTCCCTCTCACCTCTCTTTCAAGTCCTTATTCCGTCTATGGAAACATTTCTTCTCATATGCAATCTGGAGTTGGTGGGTGGCTTGTTTGCAGGCTAATCTGAAAAGGTGGCAATTGTTTAGAAGTGAGGAAGGCTTTTGGCAGCAAACCTGATCGACGGTTATGATGACTGGAGGTTGTAGTAGAATCTTCTGGTCGTGTCCGAATCTAATGGCCGCTGGGCTATTTCGTACTGTGGGTTAGGTCAATGTGCACCAATAGCTTGGCAGAAACATATTTGACAATCCACTACCCAGTTCTTATTTGACTGTAGGAATCCGTTTTAGAGAAAAACGATTTCGCTTATTAGCGTACCGATTCCGCTCAACCTTCAAATCCTCCCACTTCATCGCCGCAGAGCAGATCCAGCCAACAACGATGTGAATACGTGCGAGCATTTCAGGTTCATCATCTGCATGTCCGCTGAGGTATGGTAGTTCCAGTGGTTTATGTCCGAGAAGCGTCGGATCGATGAAATGTCTCAAGCGTGGGGTCAGTCTTGAGGAGGCCCGCATTTTTTAGCTTCTGCTGCCCCTATCAGATAGATTGGTTACCATCATGTGAGTCCCGATTTTGGTGGTATGTTCACTGAAAACGGTTTTCTTTGGCGTATCATTTGAATGGAGTATCGTGACGGCGTGCCAGTCTTTCATGGCTGCATGACGGACTTGGAATGTCGTGGCGACATACCAATCTTTTAGTGTCGTGGCAACATGCGCTTCCAGTGTCGAGACGGCATGTCGACCTTTCAGTGTCGTGGTGGCACGCGGCTCGTGCATAGCGGACAATAGAGAGTGGTTGGATGGTGCGGATGTCGGATCTGGACGGTGCAGCAGCGAAACCAGGTGGCGAAGCGGAACCGGGTGGCGCAGCGAACCGGGTGGCGCAGCGGAACCAGGTGACGAAGCATTCCGGCTGTCGTTCATTAATCGTAAGGCTTTCTGTTAGAGAATGTTTTGTGTCTGTTCCATCACATTTCCGACATGCCGACCTGCTCTTTTTGCAATGAATTCAGGAGGAAGTCTAGAGACATCTGTAGGTGTTGTGTGCAGGGATTTCAATCTCGAGAGTATCATGCACAATATGCCAAAGCGGAAGCTGAACGGCAATTGGAACGTGCCAAGAGTGACGCGCAAGAGAAGAAAAACTCTCTGGAATCTCTTCTAGATAAGTCCATGAGTGAAGCGAAAAGACTGAAGAGTAACTTGGACCAACAGCTCGTCTTTTCTGATAAGGTCAAGGCGATGCTGAACATGTCTTCCTGTGATGTCACGCTGGAGACAAGCGACGGAGGGAAGGTATCCGCTCATCGCTGCGTTCTTGCCGCATGGTCAGTGAACCTTAATGTACGCTCTTGCTGACAACAGTTGTCGGATGTCTTGCTAAAGTTTATGCCTTTTTGTTTTTCACAGTTGGTAGTTCACACGGTCCTAGCTGACACGCTAGTTTGAAGTCAGTTCTGCTGATGCTGTCTTGTTTCTCTCGTGGTGCTGTGTGCTTGTAGGTCTCCCGTCTTTGCAAAGATGTTCAGCAGTGGCTTTCAAGAATCAAAGGAAAATTCCATCTTGATACATGACATCGACTGCCCTACAGTGGAGCGGCTTCTCGAATATATGTACACTGGCAGGGTCAAAATAGAAGATGCAACTCTTCAGGTAAGCATTCAACATGCAAGCACCTTTTCAAACAGTATTGTTCTCTGGCCTTCATCCACTCATGCTCACGACAGATGCATTTGATATGTCACTACCATGGTGGTGCAGGAATCAAAGCTCCTTGCAACAGCTGACAAATATGAAGTTCTGGAGCTAGTTAGGTTCCTTGATTCAGGCCTCTGCTCTTATTTGAAAGACGACACTGTATTTGAGTTCTGGAGGGCTGCAGTCATGCATAATGCCCCGCTACTGAAAGAAGCCTCCATAACTTACATCATCAGCAGAATGAATCGAGGAGCAACTGCAAAGATTTTAAAGGTATATTCCCTGTCTTTGCACGATTTTGCCCGATAGTGTGCTTGTGAAGTACGTGTATTGTTTTATTGCGCATGCAGGGTCAGATATTGTCGGATAACAGACAAGAACGGGAGATGGCAGCGGAGCTGGTGGAGAAGTGGCTGGGGAGTGGGGATACTGATGGAGAAACCACATTGAACGTGGAAAAGGGGGGTACTGAACTGGGAGAGACTGATGTGAAATGCGGTGCTAGGCGTGTGCTTCATTCACATTTGTGGGGAATCTGATCGTTACTTTGTTGAAAGCTATGAAGTGCAAAGGAAGATGTTGGAGGATGTCAAGATTAGTGAATAAATTTCTTGTGAACATGTTGGAGGATGTTAAGGTTAGATCTGCTGTAGATTAACGCATGAATTTCCCAGCAGGCACTTCACCTGTCAAGCATGTCAAATGACTACGATTTCAGTCACATTCGTTAACAGTTTCAAATTGTTTCGCATAGTGGGCTTCTCCAGCAGACAGCGCAAAATGACGGTACTGGCAGACATGTCAATAATGGCCCTGAGGGGACTGAGGCTCCAACGTAGGTGACAGATGGCCAGCACACACCATTACAGTGCACATAACTGTAAACACCGCTACAAACAATCACGTTATTTCGCGTGAGCTTCTCAAGGAGGCAGTGGAGAAGTACAGTCCCAGCCGGCTGGCCAATCAGGGCCTCCAGTGCAGGTGTTAGATGGCCAGCACACACCATTATAGTGAACATAACTGTAAACATCGTTACAATCACAAGTCCTTCCGCATGGGTTTCTCGAGCAAGCAGTGCAGAATGACAGTGCTAGCAGGCTTGCCAATCATGGTCTTGGGAGGGGTAAGGCTCCAATGCAGGTGGCGGTACTTTAGAAGATCCAGGACCGATAAGTATGAAGGCATTTCTGCTGCCGAGGCAGTGAACTCCTCAAACCACATCACTCCACCTGCCAGAAAAACACAAAAACAAAAGGAGGGGATAAACAAAAACACAATGCACCAGTCAGATCCAGCAATGACAGATATGACAGCATTTCTGATGCTGGCAAATCAAGGGAGATGGGCAAGGCATTGGAGATGGGGAGTGGGAAGGGAGTAGGGGAGTGAGGCTCCAGTACAGGGAGCAGACCTGGCACTGGGAGGTATGACTGAAAGATTTTTTTTTTCTGCAGACATATCAAGGGAGACAGGCAAGGCACGGGAGATGGGGGAGGGGGAGAGGGATGAGGCTCCAGTGCAGCTGACAGTAGTTGAGCAGATCTAACACTGAGAGGTAGGATGGCATTTCTGCTGCTGAGGCAGAGAATTCCTCAAACCAAATCATGCCATCTGGAAGATAAGAGGGGAATTTTTAAACGCTGAAGAGTAGCAGATTGTTTCGCAAATTAAATGATAAGGCATGGGGGGGAGCGAGAGGGATGGAAAAAGTGAGGTGGGATGATCACCTCCAGTGCAGGTGGAGGTACTTGAAGGTCTAACACTGAGAGGTAGGATGGCATTTCTGCTGCCGAGGCAGTGAATTTCTCAAACCACATCACTCCACCTTGAGATGAAAAGAACCGGAAAGGACAACGAGGAAACCAGAGGTAGAAAGGGAGTGAGGTAAGAAAGTGGGTGGGGCTTTCAGTGCAGGTGTCAGTACCATGTGCCATGTGCCATCTGCCATGCCATGGTGCGCCAATTCACATCCTGTCAGCATGCTGTCCAACTCGTGGCTGATGGGCCATGTGCCCAGCCCATGGCACAGCACGAGTCCCCACCCATACTGAGAGGGTAACAACGTGAATGAAATCAATGCTGTGAACGCCCATAACCTCTGACTCACCTAAACATCTCCCTGAAAAGCCAGCTCACCAACTCTCAGGACACTGTCCCACTCGAACATAACCTCCTCGGATACAGCAGGAGAAGGCTTGAACTTGATGGCATTGGTGGCGTGTAGGATGTCGAGACTGTGAGAAGAAAGAATGGGGAAGTGTGGGATGGGAACGGAGAATGAGAGATGGGAAACGGAAACAGGAAGGGAGGGGGGTAATGGGAATGGGAAATGAGAGGGGTGAGTGGAAGCAGGGAATGAGATGGATGAATGAATGAGAGCGAGGGATGAGTGTGGGGAATGGTGAATGAGGGAGTTGCATAGGAACGAGGATCTACAGGGGTGATTGAGAATGGGGAATGAGAGGAGTGATTAGGAGGGGTGAACGGGAGTGGAGAATGAGAGGGGAAAAAGGGAGGGGGGATTGAAAGGGGTGAATAGGAGCGAGAAAAGAGAAGACAAATAGGAGCAAGGAACGAGAGGGGTGAATAGGGATGTGGAATTGAGAGGCGTGAATGACAGCAAGGAATGAGGGGCGAATGAGAGTGGGGTACGAGAGGATTGAATGGGAGAGGGGAATGAGTTGGGGGATCAGGGCAGGGATTAAGAGGGCAGAATGAGAATGGGAAATGACGGGTGAATTGGAACGGGCACGAGAGAGGCGCGTGACTAGGGGTGAGTGGTCAACGGGTGATTTGTGAATCAGGCGGGAAATTGGAAGCGAGGAATGACAACCGTGAATGGATGTGAGGAAGGAGAGGGGTGATTAGGGAATGAGAGGGGTGGATAGGCCGCTGGGAATGAGAGGGGTGAGTAGGAAAAGGGAAGGACAGGGGTGAATAGGAGGAGGAATGGGAGGGGACAACTGAAGGGGCAGGATAAGAGGGGTGCGAGGATGGACGGCAGAAGAGAGGGGTGAGGGTGAGGCGAATGACGGGTGAGCCGGAAAATTAGGGGGGTTGAATGGGAACAGGGATAAGATGGGGGGACCGAAGCACGAGACTAGATGGTAACCAACATTCGTAGACGTGTAGGTAGGATACGTGCTGGGGAAAGTATGGTAGAAATGGGAATGCAGAATGAGGGAAAAAAGGCATCGGGTATAGTAGGGGCAGGTGAAAATACAAAAAAGTAAGGGTATGGGAACAGGAAATGAGAGTGATAAATGAGAGATGTGAACAAAACGAGGGGATGGGAAAAGGATCAAAGGAAGGAGGGGAACAGCGGCCGGAAGGGAGCCTCCACGATGGCCCTTCATGTCGTGTACCTACGTCATATGACCAGTTCTATCACGAGTACCGTACATTGAATTGACACTGGAAGTTTTGTTTTAGACACTAACTAGTCAGCTCCACCAAGAATAATGCATTACTCCAGCCAATATACTCCAATTTTATATACATGGATTGCATCTCCCCTCTTCACCCTCCTGCCCTGTGTACTGCACAGCTCTCATACTCCCTGGCCACACCGGTCCACCACCAGGCCCCCACACTTCAGAGAAACTGCAACAGCACAGGCAAAAAGTGTATTGCTACAATCCCTGCCGTGCCCCTGCCACAGGACGACTGACTTCGTTCAATCTTCACTTCACCGTCCACTCTTTTCCCAGCAAGTCCACTGTCACTATCCTTCCTCTCTTATCGTCTGTCAGCAACATATCCTGGTGAGAGAGCCCAAGAGCAAATGCATCAAACGCAATCATTCAATTCCACCACAATTGAAGAGATGATTAGATACAAGAATATGGAGTTTGACCAGCGTGCATCCACTTCATCATACCTTTAAGCTGTCAAACGGATCCTCACTCATAAGCACACCCAAACGTGATTCCAGGCGCTCTTTCAACTCAAGGACTTCATACTTGTCTGCTGCCACCAACAGCTTCACCTCCTGCAGAGTGAGTGGTGCACAACAGAGAAACAAATAAGAATTTTGCGAGACCAAGACAGAAAACACATGAAAAAACACGTGGTTCCCATTTCAACACGTCACCTTCACGGTTGCCTTCTGAATGTGCACAACCCCAGTGTACATGTAACTGAGAATCTGCTCAAGTGTAGCGCTGTCCGTATCATCAATTTTCACAGAGCCACTTGTCTCTTCTCGAAAGCCGCTGCTAAACATCTTAGCGAAGACTGGAGACCTGCCAAGTGATTATCCCGCAAACAATAAAACGAATGCTACAGCCTCAATCAGGAAGAAAAGAGCACTTGTCCGGGCACTGCATAAGCACAAAAACTTAGACAGGAAAGCAGAGGACTAACCATGCAGCAAGCATGCAGCGATGAGCAGGGAACTTCACTCCATCGCGTGATTCTAACGTCACATCGCAAAAATCTGTCACCAGCATGCCGTTGACCTTACGAGCAAACAGGTTGGACTGCTCTAAGCTATCTTGCATCTTTTCTGCTTCCTCTTTGTATTGCTCTAAATCACCGACTTGACCCTCCAACTGTTTGCATCTCCTGGCCGCCTCAATACAAGGCACACAAATATTCCACTGCACGCAGTCATTCCTATAGCATCCACACACACCGCATGAGCTCATGGCTGCGAACTACAAGCCCACGGCTGGAATGTTTTATAGCACCCAGCTAATCTTGCAGTCACAGAGAGTGAAAGAATCTAACGAAGCACTGAGTGAATTGACCTCAGCTTCAAGTTGGGGGGATAGACATCTGCCTCCACCTAAATATACTTGAAAGTAATTACAACTTCCACGATCGGTCGCTGACGCGAGTGAACACACGAGATAACAACATTGCAAAGCGAAAAGCAAGCTGGTAAAAGAAATGGTACCATAAATCCGCGAAAGCTTCATCGCATGCATCAATCCAGCTGCTCCTTCCCAACCGTCGTTGCTTGGCCCGTAATCCATCTTAATGTTGGATTCGCCATCATCCCCCGAAGTGATCTCAATTCTTTGCCACGTGTGGTCATCTTGATGTTTCGATAACCCTACTGGGAAATAACCTAACTTTGCGTAAAACGGCCAGTCTCCACCACGCGTTAGCTTATCGTGTTCTGCATGCTACTAGATACTAGTTCGTGAATTAGAAAAGGGCACAACGACACGATAGGCAAGGACGGGACAGCCTGTAATCCATGCACGCAGCGCAATGGCTCTTGTCATAGGTTGGCGATCACGCGTATGAGGTGGAGCAAGCTTAGTGTTGTGTGACATTACAGGGAGGAAACATAACTTTCGCGCTTGGGTAAGCTGTGTTTAGATCAGGTACCATGACCCCCCGCAGTGCAAATGTCCCTTCATATGTGTGTGCTTCGCCACGGTCGTTTGCGAAGAGACTTACGCAAGTTCGCAAGTGCCGTGTTCCCACACGTCTCCCCTTCCAGCGCAACCGCGATTTTTTTCTCGAACATGAGAGACGAGAAGAGCGAAGGTTACAAACATTTCGCACTGGGGATGTGGGCTTCTGAATTGAACCAAGCTTTTCCCACCCGCCTGCAGCAGCCGTGGGAGACCCTACTATGGGGCTGTTCGCCAGCACCATTATATCTAAAAACGACGGGATAACGACGGGATCGGGAAGGTGGGTCTCGCCTTCCTAATCCCTTCAGTTAGAGTTCGTTAACCTCCGTCAGCTTGGTCAGCCCGTGAAAATTGTGCCGAGCCTCACCCACCGTCCAAACCAATTAACAAACTGGGCGTCTGGCGAACGCCCACTTTTGTACACCAATTTCAACGTTTCGATGGCATATGGAAGCGGGGACGAAAATTCCTCCCCAGGCAAAACACCATTCCCTTGCGATGCCATCGTCATGCTGCGTTTTTCGAAGCACAGCGGTGGCACAGCGGTTGCACAGCGGACGCATCGCTGTTCAGGGGAACCCGGGAACAAGCCTTCAGTTTAATAAAGGGGGGTTCGTGTACCCCCCATTTTTCCCTCCCTAACACACCTTCAAAATGCCCCCCGCACATATGCGGTTTCGATGCTGATGCCATCGTTTTTTGGTTGAAGAAACGATTTGCTGGCGAACAGCACCTATATGCATGTTCAATTCCTCTCATCTCACCGCATTCCTTCAATTCCAGCATGCTGAAACCATACTGGCATGCGACGCCGCAGCGGCTTCTCTCATGCGAGGATGTCCCTGGAAAATTGTTATTTCTGGTTGAAGCGGCGCCGTTGGCGGATCATGAAACCATGAGCATTGTGATACCAGCAAAACATCATGCGATGATACCCACGGCGACAACGGTGATGAAATGTGATGGTAGTTCATCCGAACGGACGGAACGGCGTTCCGTCATGTAATTTTGTGAACGGACGGAACGGCGTTCCGTCATGTAATTCTGTGCTTGCTGGAGTATCTCTATCGGTGTGGTTTGCATGACTCGCATGCTCGCCAACGGTTGTCCATCCGCCTGACACGTCCAATAAACGCTTCAAATTTGGGGGTGAAGCTAGGTGACAACGAGGGTATGAAGCTTAGGTGAGGTCGTGAGATCGCTCGGAGCTGCCATTAGCTTCGTGAGATTATTCCAGTTTGAGTAGACCACCTCGCCGTTCGCCGCCTGGTGGAGCATTCTTTCCTTTCTCGTCGAAGCGTCTTCACGTGAATATAGGCTTTTCTCAATGTCTACTTGTGGGATTTGTGGAACCAGTCCGTGTGGCAGAATCGAGGCTCGGTACGCTTGTGAGTCCTGTCGGGATACTCTTTCACAGATTCAGCCCTTCAAGGAATTTATGCGACATGCAAACCACCTGCAGCAATTCGCTGATACGATCAAGGGATTACTTAATACGACTCTCTGCGACGTGTCGTTGGAGACACCGGATGGAGCCAAGATTGGTGCACATCGCTGCATCCTTTCCGCCTGGTACGACGATTGCTCCTTGTAGCTTTCCCTTTCATCCTGTCGGGTCAGTGCCTTGAAGAAGAGATTTTTCTTGCTCTTCGTTGCAGGTCTCCCGTCTTTGCAAGAATGTTTGGAGGCGGGTTCAAAGAAGAGAAAGCTGGCTCTATTCACATTGAGGACATGAATCGTCAAACTCTGGAGATGCTTCTCAATTTCATGTATACAGGAGATGTAGAGGTAACAGAGGCGACCACGAAGGTGAGACTGACCACATTCAGTAGCCTGTCTTTGCCATGATTTCAACAAATCCCTCATCGACAATGCTCTTTAATTTTCTGCAACCTGCGTTGATGGCAGGAGCTGGAGCTGTTAATCGCAGCTGACAAATATGGAGTTGAAGCTTTGAAGAAGCTCCTGGATGCTGCTCTTCCCAAGCACTTGAATGGAGAGAACGTGTTTGAATGCTTGAAGGTTTCCGAGATGCACAGTGCGCCGACTTTGAAGGAAGCTTCTGCAGGTCACATATGTGACAAAGTGGATCGTGAATCAAGTTTCAAGAAGCTCATGGTGAGTCCTTCCTGAATACCAAAACAGTAATGGCAATCTTTTCCAAAACCATTTGGAGCTGCCACGTTCAAAGGTTCAATCGTAAGTTGTTATGCTCTTTCCCTTGGGCATCTGCAATGTGCAGGAATTATTGTTTGGGGATGACATGAAGGACAGGGTTTTGGCAGAAGAGGTTTTGAAGAAGGTATGGTGTCAGCAGAAGACATGAGTCTACGTTGCGTGTTGGCACATGCGGGCTGTCAATCAATGTCTTGTTGGATGCAATGTTCTCAAAGCCAGTTCCAGTGTTATCTGAAGTTGATTCGCTACTGTATGGTTTACCTTTCAAAGTAAAGATAGAACACTCTTTTATTATGAAGGCTTCATCTGTATTGGTCCGAGCTGACACATAACTTCTTGAGCAGGCAATGCAGAACAGTGGCGACAGGCTTGCAGCCTTCCCAATCATTGTAAAGCTTCTCAATAAGCGATACTACCATTAGAATCATAAGTCTTTCCGCATGGGCTTCTCGGGAAGGCAGTGCAGAACGACGGTGCTGGCAGGCTTGCGAATCATCGCCTTGGGGGGGTTGAGGAGGTGAGGCTCTAATCTAGCTGGCGGTACTTCAGCAGATCTAGCACTGTCCAGCACTGACTAGATCAGATGTGAAAAGTATTGTATCAGTTATCCACCACCATGGTTACAAGTCTTTGCGCATGGGCTTCTCCAGCAGGCAGTGCAGAATGACGGTGCCGGCCGGCTTGCCAATCATGGCCTTGGGGGGGGTGAGGTTCCAATGCAGGTGGCGGTACTTTAGAAGGTCCAGCACTGACAAATATGAGGGCATTTCTGCTGCCGAGGCTGTGAATTCCTCAAACCACATTACTCCACCTGATTAAAGGGGGCGTGATGCAGTCAGGGAGAGGGACCGAAAAGAGAGGCATATCAAGGGAGACGGGCAAGGCACGGAAGATGGCATGGGGGAGGGAGAGGGGGGGTTTAGGGCGTGCTACTCAGGGTCCGCGTAGCCCCTGGTCCGCTGAGTCAGGGCTAGTCCGACGGACCAGGCCCAGACCATGTCCCACACGAATCTTGCGGACTGGTCTGACGGACCAAATTAATCCCTGAAATTCTGCCTGGCGGACCAGTAAACTGGCTCGGACCGGAACGGACCAAGATGCTGTTACTTGGTAACCAGTTTCTGTACTTTCTGGTCCGCGAGCTGGCTCACAGCTGGTCCGTCCTGGTCTGCGGGCCGGGCCGCCTGGTCCGCAGGGAACCAAGGGTTCCGCGGACCCTGAGTAGCACGCCCTTAGGCTCCAGTGAAGGTATCAGTACTTGAGCAGATTCAAGACAAGACCAATAGGCATGTGCAGATTGCTGAAAGGCCAACTCACCGGCTTGTAGCACGCGGTCCCACTCGAACAGGACTTGTACAAACTCAGCGGGCGACGGCATGAATTTGATGGCGTTGGTGGCGTGTAGAATGTGTCTACGGTGTTGTCGTGCAAAGGAGAACACACAGACTTGCTGACATGTGCCCAACTTACCGACTCGTAGCACGCGGTCCCACTCGAATAGAACCTCTTCAAACTCAGCCGGAGAAGGCATGAACTTGATGGCGTTGGTGGCGTGTAGGATGTCCAACGTGTTGTCATAGAATGGCAGGCGGACCTGATGATGGAAGTGAAACAAGTCAAGGGAGGGGGAGAGGGGAAAGGTGTGGTGGGGAAAATATGAACTTGATGGCGTTAATGGCGTGAAGGGGATCCAAAGTGTTGTCATAGAAGGGCTCGCGGACCTGATGATGGGAGTGACAGAAATACCAAAAAAAAGGAAGGGAAAACAGGGGCACACGTGATAGTGGTGATGACGTTAGTGGCGGGAAGGATGTGTAACCTCACTCACCTCACCTCACCTCACCTCACCTCACCTCACCTCACCTCACCTCACCTCACCTCACCTCACCTCACCTCACCTCACCTCACCTCACCTCACCTCACCTCACCTCACCTCACCTCACCTCACCTCACCTCACCTCACCTCACCTCACGTCTCATCTCACCTCACCTCACCTCACCTCACCTCACCTCACCTCACCTCACCTCACCTCACCTCACCTCACCTCACCTCACCTCACCTCACCTCACCTCAACTCACCTCACCTCACCCCACCACACCACACCACAACATACAGCATGTCAGCCCCTTCTTTCGTCCCACGTTGGCCTCGAGGTTCATCACTGACGTCATCATGGTGACGCTGCGCCTCGCCATGTGCGCTTCAGAAGGGCAAGGAAAGCCTCTTGTTGCATCCCCATGGCTTCAAGTCTCCATTCATCAAATCAACCTCCCAACAGCGTGCAGAAACGACAGCACCAGCACCCAAATCACCCACCTTATAGGGCAGCCACAGGGGAACAAGTCCCCTCAGGGCAATGGTTTCCAAAAAAGGTAACCCCTTCTTGCGCCCCACGTTGGCCTCGAGGTTCATTGCTGACGTCATCATGGTCACGTTGTGCCTCGCCATGTGCGCTGCGAACGATCCTGACCCTCCGTTGAAGTCCAACCCAATCCTGCGATAGCAACGAGGCAAGACATTGGGAGAGGTAGGTGAGGAGAGAGGGGGGGGGGGGGGGGGGCATCATGGTCACGTTGTGCCTCGCCATGTGCGCTGCGAAGGAGCCCAACCCCCCGTTGAAGTCCAACCCATCAAACGGATCAAAGAGCCCCCTCCTCACCTCAGCGCCCCCTTCTTGATCGCGATAATAACCTCCTTCACAGCAAGAGCCCCTCCTGCTGCCGTGTTCTTATCACTGCCCCCCTGCTGCACTCATGCTCCGACACCCACCCACCACTCATCACACCTCCTCTCCTCCGCTAAACTCATCCCTCATCCCCCACAGATCAACCCAAACACATTTGTGCCCTTCTCACCTCAGTGCCCCCATCTCACCTCAGTGCCCCCGTCTCACCTCAGTGCCCCCTTCTTGATCGCGATAACCTCCTTCACAGTAAGAGCCCCTCCCCCTGCCGTGTTTTTTGGCTGTTTAACCATCCACCTCCTCTCCTCCCGCACTCATGTTCCAACAACCTCCGCCCGGCTGCCGCCCGCAGGCGTCCCCCGTGCCGGCCGTGGCAGAGGCGAGGGCGGGCCTGCAGGCGTCCCCCGTGCATCAAACCCACCTAATCGCTCCTTCTCACCTCAAAGCTCCCCTTTCGTACCTCAGAGCCCCCTTCTTGATCGCAATGACTTCTTTCACAGTGAGTGCCCCTCCCGCTGCTGTGTTCTTCGGGGCCTTGACCATCCACCTCCTCGCCTCCGCGCTCATGTTCCAACAACCCCCGCCACCCGCCTGCCGCCCGCAGGCGTCCCCCGTGCCGGCCGTGGCGGTGGCGAGGGCGGAGGGGGAGAGGGCGTTGAGGGAGGCGAAGGAGGAGAAGGCATGGTTGTTCCACCGCACTGATGCGTCTTGGAGGGCAGATTGGGAGAAGAGAGCAGCGGGTCTTGATAGGGGCTGCGAGAAAGGACAGCCAGGAAGGAGAAACGGGGAGAGAAACAGGGAGACAGGCGCCTCAAAACTCATCTCATGTTCCGCAGGCGTCCCTCTTTTGTAGGCGCCTAGAGCGCAGGCGTCCCCCGTGCCGGCCATGGCAGTGGCGAGGGCGGATGGGGAGAGGGCGTTGAGGGAGGCGAAGGAGGAGAAGGCATGGTTGTTCCACCGCACTGAGTCGTCTTGGAGTGCTGACTGGGAGAAGAGAGATGTGGGCCGTGACAGGGGCTGTTGAAGGGAGGGGGGCAGGAGGGCAAGCAGCAGGGAGAGGGCAGAGCAGCAGCAAGCAAGCAAGGAGGGGCAGAGGGCGTTGAGGGAGGCGAAGGAGGAGAAGGCGTGGTTGTTCCACCGCACTGATGAGTCTTGGAGTGCTGGTCTTGAGATGAGAGCGGCTGGTCTTGACAGGGGTTGGAAGAAGTGCAAAGGAAAAACAGGAGAAATATGCGGCAAGGGAGGGGGAATTAGAAGGGAACAACAGTGAAGGGAGGGGGAATTAGAAGGGAGGGGGTTGCTGCCTGCAGGCGCCATCCACTATCATGCGTGCAGTGTGAGCAAGGCAGGCCACTACCATTACCATTACCATTACCATTACCACTACCACTACCACTACCACTACCACTACCACTACCATTACCATTACCACTACCACTACCACTACCACTACCATTACCATTACCATTACCATTATCATTACCATTACCACTACCACTACCACTACCATTACCATTACCATTACCATTACCATTACCACTACCACTACCACTACCACTACCACTACCATTACCATTACCATTACCATTACCATTGCCATTACCATTACCATTACCATTACCATTACCATTACCACTACCATTACCATTACCACTACCACTACCATTACCATTACCATTACCACTACCACTACCACTACCATTACCATTACCATTACCATTACCATTACCATTATCATTACCATTACCACTACCACTACCATTACCATTACCATTACCATTACCATTACCATTACCACTACCATTATCATTACCATTACCACTACCACTACCACTACCACTACCACTACCATTACCATTACCATTACCATTATCATTACCACTACCATTACCATTACCACTACCATTACCACTACCATTACCATTATCATTATCATTACCATTACCATTACCATTACCATTACCACTACCATTATCATTACCATTACCACTACCACTACCACTACCACTACCACTACCATTACCATTACCATTACCATTATCATTACCACTACCATTACCATTACCACTACCATTACCATTACCATTACCACTATCATTACCATTACCATAACATTACCTTCACCATGCTCCCTTCGCTCACTCGTAAATTCACATACCTCCACGATCGTGTGTGCCGTGCGAGCAAGGCAGCGCCTTTTTGGTAGTGAGTGGCACTGCTTGCGAAATATTAGGTCCTGGACCAAAAGCCGTCATCAGGACACGTGCATCTAGTCTCACACAGGTCCTCACCCCTACATCCACCCACACATCTTCCCACCCTCGCACCCCCCCACCCACCTCCACGATCTTGTGTGCTGTGCGAGCAAGGCAGCGCCTCTTGGGAAGCGAGTGGCACTGCTGGCGGAAGATAAAGTGGTATTCACCCTTACATTACATCCTCCACACGCCCCCCCACCCACCTCCACTATCTTGTGAGCAGTGCGAGCAAGGCAGCACCTCTTAGGCAGCGAGTGGCACTGCTTGCGGAAAATCAAGTCTTGAACGAACAGCCAGTCGTCAGGGCACATGCCCCTCACACACACACACCCGTGTATGATACATCCACCCACATGCCCATTCACACACCACCTCCCCACCCACCTCCACTATCTTGTGTGCCGTGCGAGCAAGGCAGCGCCTCTTGGGCAGCGAGTGGCACTGCTTGCGGAAAATCAAATCTTGGACAAACAGCCAGTCGTCAGGGCACATGCCCCTCGTCTCAAAGTCCATGTAGCGTTGCAGCTCGCGCTCTGTAGCGGAACATGAATAGCCCTGTAAGGGGGATGAAAAGAGTAAGGGGACAGGAAGACAGCAAGTCATGAGTAAAAGAATCCTTTTGCCCCTTCCAGGCAAGTTCTTAGGACACATGCCCCTCGTCTCAAAATCCATGTAGTGCTGCAGCTCGCGCTCTGTAGCGGAACACGAACAACCCTGTAAGGGGGACGGACGGAAGAGGAAAGAAGGGGAAAGGATGGGTCTGATGCAATAAACCACGACACGACGTGCATAGATATATGTGTGTACATATATGTGTGCGTCTGGCAATGTAGATTGACGAAACTCAGATACCAAAACACCAACACAGACACAGGCACCCACAAACCCACGCACACAAATACTGACAGACAACCCCGGCCACACCCGCCCACCCACCTTCCAGCTGGGAACCTTCTTGGAAATTACAGGTCCTGTTTGCGGCTTGCAGCTGTGCAGCAGCTCCGTTGCCCTGCTGAGTGCCTGGAGGGAAGGGGGTGGTGGTGGGGGGGGAAGAGGGGGAGGAGGGGAGGACGGGGAGTGAGGGAGAAATATGTAAGGAAGGCTGTGTGAACAATCAGGGTCTGTCTGCGGCTTGCAGGTGTGCAGAAGCTCTGTCACCCTGCTGAATGCCTATAGGGAAGTGGGGATGGAAGGAATGGAAGGAAGGGCGTGTGTGGCGTATGCTTTTTGACACACACGCAGTGCTACCTTGTGATTACTTGTTGTTCAAGCAACTAGTGCACGGCACATGCACACACACGCACGCACGCACGCACGCACGCACGCACGCACGCGCGCGCGCGCGCGCGCGCACACACACACACACACACACACACACACAAGCACGCACCTCCTTGGTGATTGCTTTCTTGCCCCAATCCGCCCCCGACTCTGTCAGCTTCACGTCCAGTGCTGCCTTGTCCGCATTCACCTTCTCGTGGCGCTTCTGATGATGTGAAGGGGTGGGAGAAGGTTGAGAGGGAAAAAGAGGGGCGAAAAGGAGTGGAAACGAAAGAGCGGTACACGAGGATCTGCACCCTCATGTGCGGTGTCCCATCAACCCACCCACCCACCCACCCACCCACCCACCCAACCAGCCACTTTCCACCTCACCTGCAAGGCTTCATATTCCGCTTTCAACCGTTTCAGCTCGCCCTGCTTCTCCACCAGTCGGCCCTGCAGCACCATCACATTGTCATTGCCCTGCACTGCACGACACCGGCTCACCTGCAAAGCTTCATACTCCGCCTTGAGTCTCTTCAGCTCCACCTGCTTCTCCACCAGTCGGCCCTGCAGCACCATCACGTCACCCTTGCCTCTGAGCCCCTCCCATCCAGACTCACAGGACCGTACAGAACCCACCTGCAGAGCCTCGTATTCCGCCTTGAGCCTCTTCAGCTCGCCCTGCTTCTCCACAAGTCGGCTCTGAAGTTCCATCACATTGTCCACCTCTGTGCCCTCCTCTGTGCCTTTTTACCCTAGCCTCGTCATACCGGCCTGCACCGCACAGAACCCACCTGCAGAGCTTCATATTCAGCCTTGAGTCTCTTCAGCTCCCCCTGCTTCTCCACCAATCTACTCTGCAGCTCCATCACATCGTCCGCCTCTGTTCCCCTCCCCCCCGCGCCTCCCCTTCCCCTTCCGCCCCCTCCCCTTCCGCCCCTTCCCCCTCCCTCTTGCTGCCCCTCGCTACCTTGATCCTCCAGCTTGCTTGCTTCAACCCCTGCCAAGGCAAGGGTGGGAGGTAAGGTCATAGGAGAAAGGAGGAGGTTAGGAGAAAAGGAGGAATGCTGCCCCTCGCTGTCCTGATCCTCTAGCTTGCTCGCTTCAACCCCTGCTAAAGGCCAACGCGAGCAAGGGAGGGGAGGAGTGCAGATGAGGGAGGAAGGGCAAGAGCCGAGAGGAAAGGATCACTTAAAAACCCCTTACCCCTCCTCCCCCCTGCTGCCCCTCGCTGCCCTGATCGTCCAGCTTGCTTGCTTCAAACCCTTCCAAGGCGAGAGGGGGAGGGAAGGTCATAGGAGAAAGGGGGAGGTTAGGAAAGGAGGAGAAATGGTGATTCAACCCCCCCCTCCCTCTTCCCTGCCGCCCCTCGCTGCTCTGATCCTCTAGCTTGCTCGCTTCAACCCCTGGCAAGGCGAGCAAGGGAGGGAAGGTCATAAGAGAAACGAGGAGGTTAGAAGGGTAGGAGGAATGGTGATTCAGCAGAAAGGTGATTCCCTCCCCCCAACCCCTGCTAAGGCGAGAGGGGGAGGGAAGGTCATAGGCGAAAGGAATGGTGAATCAGCAGAATGTGCCAGTCGAAAATTCTCCGTTGATAAATCCCCCCTCCCTCCCTTCTGCTGCCCTGATCGCCCAGCTTGCTTGCTTCAACACCTGCCAAGGCGAGCAAAGGAGGGAAGGAGTGCGGATGAGGGTTAGTGGAGCAGGAATTATAAGTGATACATCAGTCCAACTCCCCGCCCCCCTGCTGCCCCTTGCTGCCCTGATCGCCCAGCTTGCTTGCTCCAACACCTGCCAAGGCGAGCGAGGGAGGGAAGGAGTGCGGATGAGGGGAGTGCATAGGATATGAGGGGATCACGGAAGGAGCCAGGAGTGAAGGTGATACATCAGTCCAACTCCCCGCCCCCCTGCTGCACCTCTCTGTCCTGATCCCCTAGCTTGCTTGCTTCAACACCTGCCAAGGCGAGCAAGAAAGAGACCATGGAAAATGAAAGGTTATTGAACCACTACCTACCTCAAAGAACACCTGCGAACCACTCTTGAAGTTCCTTCAGATGATACTTAGACTGGAAAACACGCCCCAACATCCCCCAACCCCCACCCCCCCCTTCTTTCGCCCAACAGTGATATGATACCTAACCGCACTACGCACTCTCAACAGCATGCACACCTCTTCACCGCACTGCACACCTGCGAACCATTCTTGAAGCTCCTTCAGCTGCTCCCTACACTGGGCACACGTCCCCCGCGCTCCCCCCTCCGCACTCTTGAGAGTTCTGCGGAGCGCAGGGGGTGTGATGGGAGAGCAAGGTGTGATGGGAGAGGAGCAACGGGATTAGATGGGGATGCTCCCTACACTGCGACTCGCACGTCCCCCGTGCCCCTCCCTCCGCACTCTTGAGAGTTCTGCGGAGCACCAGGGGGTATGATGGGAGAGCAAGGTGTGACGGGAGAGCAAGGTGTGATGGGAGAGCAAGGTGTGATGGGAGAGAAGCAACGGGGTTAGATGGGGGTGCTTCCTACACTGGGCACACGTCCCCCGCGCCCCTCCCTCTGCACTCTTGAGAGTTCTGCCCAGCACGAAGGGGTGTGATGGGAGAGGAGCAATGGGGTTCGATGGGGTGTGGATGCTCCCTACACTGCGACTCGCACGTCCCCCGTGCCCCTCCCTCTGCACTCTTGAGAGTTCTGCGGAGCACGAGGGGGTGTGATGGGAGAGGGGAAAAATGGAATAATCTCAGCAATAACCCCTCTTGAATTTGCATAGGATAAATTAATCTTCCCCCTTTCCCCTCTGCACTCTTGAGAGATCTGCGGAGCACAAGGGGGTGTGATGTGATGGGGGCACAAGGGGGTATGATGGGAGCGGAGCAACGGGGTCTGATGGGGATAATCCTGCAGCCGACTCACACGTCCCACCCACATGGCCCCCTACCCCCCCACCCTCTGCAGTCCTGAAAGATCTGGGGGACACGAGGGGGTATGATGGGAGAGGAGCAACGGGATTAGATGGGGATGCTCCCTACACTGCGACTCGCACGTCCCCTGCGCCCCTCCCTCTGCACTCTTGAGAGTTCTGCGGAGCACGAGGGGGTGTGATGGGAGAGGGGAAAAATGGAATAATCTCAGCAATAACCCCTCTTGAATTTGCATAGGGAGCGGAGCAACGGGGTCAGATGAGGATAATCCTGCAGCCGACTCACACGTCCCCCGCGCTGCGCCGTCTGCACTCTTGAGAGATCTGCGTGCGGAGCACAGGAGGGTGTGATGGGAATGAGAAGGAATAGGATACTCTCTGTGGTAACCCCTAGATTCCGTTTCAGTAGGATAAAATACTCTCCCCACTTTCCCGCCTGCACTCTTGAGAGATCTGCGGAGCACAGGGGGGTGCGATGGGAGAGGAGCAAGTAAACGTATGCAAGGGAGAGAAAATATACTCCTTCTGTTGACTCACACGTCCCCCGCGCTCCTCCCTCTGCACTCTTGAGAGATCTGCGGAGCACAGAGGGGTGTGATGGGAATAAGACGGAATGGGATACTCTTAGTAGTAACCCGCCTCCCCTCTCCCTCTGCAGTAACCACGCACAGCTGCCGCTGGCATTTGAGTCGACTCAATAGTGGCAAAGAAATCGATACCCTGTCACTGACACACTCTCCCCCTCTCCCTCTGCAGTAACCACGCACTGCTGCCGTTGACCCTCCGTCTCTGGTCGAATCCCACGGCAGACGCGGAAACTTAAGAAAAAGGATGATTGCTGTTACCGTAATCTTGCAGTAACCACGCACTGCTGCCGTTGGCCCCCCGTCTCTGGTCGAACCCTGCGGCAGACGCGGAAACTCACAATAACGAAGCAGTTGGGTTTCGGAAGTTTATACCGAGGACAAAAAATGTATCCCGGTACCGTTTAGCGGGAGATTCCTGCAGTAACGCGGCTCTGCTGTCGCTCGCCCTCCGTCTCTGGTCCAACCCTAAGGCAGACGAGGATAGCGACAGTCCACTAGCTGCTGCTGACGCGACACCAGGGAACTCGATCGGTCCGAACGAATGCGCTGCGGCTGCTGTTGCTACTTCTGCTTCTGCTTCTGCTGTTGACGAAAAGACAATAGCGAACAATAATAGCTGAGCTATACTACTGACGATCAATGGAGTGCGCAATGGCGGCATTGTGGGTTGAGACAGCCGCATCATACTATCGAGTCGCCCACTTTGTAGCCGTTGCTACGGATGTTATGTTACAGTGATGGTCTTGAAGCGGCTCCTAAGAGCACACCAAGCGAATAATGAAGTTACAGACTGAATCCGCGCGTGGAACACTTCGCTTGCTAGATTTCGCGAAGAATTTCACTTCGCTTGCTAGATTTCGCGAAGGATTTCACTTCGCAGACAGCCGCCGAGTCCCCTACGGATTTCACGCAACCCCCATGCTTCACCGCGCCTCGCTGATAGAACACCAGAGTTGCGGCTCGAGGTAGGTAAGACCGACTTAGGTCTTCACTACACAGGATGCTCGCTTGACTTGACCAAAATTTTCGGTCATTTGGGTGTCTAGTGCGCAGCCCTATTTCGCCAGCTCGCCAACGTTCGCCACGGGCAAAATCGGGACTGTAGTGGGCAGGTGAAGAAATGTAACCAGCTTCTTCAAAATATCTTACGAACGGACGGATGTCAGCGTGATAAGCTGTTTGTTTAACGGCTGCGATCAAAAGAGGGGCTTGTATTGAGCGTGCAACTGGCTGGTGCTACTTGCGGTTGGGCAGGCTGGTCGAGCACGGGCAGACCAAATGCGCGTGCACTGGTTGGGCATCCTGTGTATTTGGGTTTCATGTGTTTCTCCATATGTACCGTTATTGCAAGTGCCAGGGGTCGGCATGTCAAACTGAGAGTTGATAAATAAACGCGTTAGAGCATGGATAACAAGGTTTTGCAGGCACACTCAGTGTACAAAGGGCAGGAGCAAACTAAAGTGGCCCTGTAGTTGCTCAGCCATCAGCTGACGGTTGGAATGGCTTTGCTGAATAATTTATAGTTACAGTACTCGCAGCCCACTACTAGGTCCTGCTTTCACATTCACAGATCTCTTCCTTATTTTCCCACAGAGTGCATGGTTGTTATTTGGATGAGCCACAACCATATAAAACCTGGACAATAACTCACTAGACTGTTTTGTCACTTCCAGCACCTGTGATTTTGTCCATGGGCCGAAATGCACTGAGGCAGCAAAGCTGTAGCGCTTGAACAAGCCACTCAAGCTGTTTGTGATGTTCTTCCAGTGTATGGAGTATGGATTCTTCGGATATTTGGCAGAAATGCATGAAGGACCAGCCATGAGGTAGGGTTGAACGCCTCCAGATCGAATGTTGTCTGCACGTACTTTCACCACAAGGTAACTGTCAAGATAGTAGGCGAAAACGAGAAATAGGCAAAGAGGGGTTTCACTAGCAGTAGGTAGGATACATATAGGAAACCCTAGTTTGGGTTGTACTCACTATAGAGTATCCCACTGCAGGCTAGACAAACATAACATTCTGACACACCCCCATAGTCAAAGTGGGGTATAATCAGCACAACAAGCAGGCATAGCAATAGTTCACAATAATACGCAAAGCTAGAGACTATCACAGAGGGCAAGTGAGGAGGAGGAAAAACTGTGGGGGCGAGAAGATGGGAGGCGACGGCTGAAGCTGCAGACACACGGGCACCAGGAGTGCGCAGCACTGACGCTACCAGGCTAAACCCGGACTACACGGCGACAGGCGCAGCTGGCTCGCTGTGCTCCCAGGAGTGCTCACACTGTGGCTACCGGGCGCAGAGCCCCGGACTACTCAGGCCACAGCGGGTCGTGGCTCTCTGGACTACCAGGAGTGCTCA